TCTTTTGGGGTTTTTTTTTCTATTATCTGTAGTGTCTTTATCTCCTTATGTCGTAGTTTTTGCTTTTCAAATTTATGCCTTTAGGATATTGTTTTCATGTCCATTCAACATCGTTTGTGTTAAATATGTATATGGTATTTATTTGAAGGGTTTGTACTTCAGGGAAATTTACCCCAAAAAAAAGGATTTTTATATCAGGCAATGTGAGCATTATATGGTTATTTATCAACAGCAGCATGCCTTTACTATATTTAGAGTGGACAATGTACATTAAATTAGAAGTAGTAAAGAGGCTTTCATAAAATGTAATGTTTTCTGTTGGCATTAACATTTCTTACTAATATTATGTTGCAGACTGACTGGGAGGGGGGTTTTTTCCCACTTACCCTTCACTTCAGTGAAGACTACCCTAGCAAGCCTCCAAAGTGTAAATTCCCACCAGGTTTCTTCCACCCAAATGTATATCCATCTGGAACTGTTTGTCTATCAATTCTTAATGAGGACAGTGTGAGTACCTTCTGTTTGTTTAAGTTTTCTACATATAGCAACTTCTTTGGCATGGAGAATTAGTGAGCTTTCTTCGTCTTATATGTAGGGTTGGAGACCAGCAATAACCGTGAAGCAAATTCTTGTGGGCATTCAGGATTTACTGGATCAGCCAAATCCTGCTGATCCTGCACAGACAGAAGGGTATCACCTCTTCATTCAGGTATGTTGCTCCTTAGCAACTTTTTGTTTCCCCATTGCTCAGCAAAATTTGGAGGGAAGGCTCTGTTGTTTCTTTAATGAATGTAAAGCTAGTATAATGCAGTATACATCTTGCAAACTCTGAAGGTTGCATTTCCACATTTTCTGAGGTGATGGCATATTATTGGGACGTCCAGTAGAGTCTCATCTAGCGTCATTAATCCTGGCAGTGGCAATTAGCATCAGAACTCACCCTGAGTGACTGCAACTTTAGGGTGCCATTGCTGTGCTATCTGTTGGTGGCTATTCATATGAGAATAGGATTAAGTGTGGAGAAGTTACCACCTCTTATGAGTTAAACAGGAATTAATTTACCTTTGCTTTGCTTGAGTTTTTGTTCTTACACTCTGCAATTCGACTTTATGCAGGATGCCACGGAGTACAAGAAAAGGGTTCGGCAGCAGGCCAAGCAATACCCACCTCTAGTTTAACGCAAAGCTGGCTTTCTAGTCCAAGAAAATGCTGGTACTCTGGTAACCGTCGGTTGTTGCCTTCTGTTTAGTGTTAAAACTGCTCATGTAAGAGATTGTTGTTTGCAAGTTTTAGTTGACATCCTGTGTAGAACTACTTGCTTGAATTATTTTTCCTCTTATCATTTGGATTAAATTATGCTAGTGAATGACACACTAGCGAGTGATCCAGTCATACTCTGTCAATGAGAAACGCAATCTTTCGTGTTGGGAGGACTATGTCAATTGTGTTAATTCATGAGTTTCTCGTTCCTGGTTGTGAGGAAGGCTAATGCAAGCACCAAAATAGTCCCAAACACTATTAGGTACCATTTGATTTGATTTCAAGGTATTGTGTTTATTCGTATTCAGTTTCACTTTGAATCTCTTTTGTTTCTAGTAATTAAGGTATTGCAAAAATGAAAATTTCTGACTTTGAGATCCGCGGATCAAAATAATCAGGTCCATTAACCTTTGGCAGAAAATCTTAGGGCGGAGAAGCGTTCAGGACTTATTTCCATGTGTTTTTTCATGAAGTGCAAAATTTCAATGTTCTAAATAGAAAGCAGTTATGAGTAGATGAGCTTCCTCTTAAAATGGTTCACTTGAATAAATCACCCAAACTTTTTCTTACAGCATTGATGGTTGACATGATTCACTTAGCCCATGATTAAAGATTTACTTGGGGATCCAATAAATTGATGCCCAAATACTGTTTCCTCCTATTTCCGTTGTCATAATGGTGACACTTTTGTTGATCTCAACTAGTGAAAATTGATTTTCACTTGCAAATAAACTAAATCTTACAGCCAATGGGTCTAACCGAGTGAAAAATGCTTTGATCTTATATTCGAAAATAATTTTGATCGTAATTTAGTTTTGGAAGCACACTCAAAATTTAGTTATTTTTCTTCTAGTATCTTATCTAACATTATAAGTAATTTCAAGTTCCAACCGAAAAGTAAATAAAAAGCAAACATTGAGCTATGATCAAAATAAAAGATGGGATTTTGAAACAAAAAGAAGGGTAGGATTTTGATAAAATAAAATAAAATACACGCAGCTCCAACTTCCCCGGCCCAGCCCATCTGTGACACTGCAGCACTGCCGATGCAAATATCATAAAACAAAAAACCCGAAACCCAAAATCATCTTCTTCTAGGGCTCCAAAATGGACGACATGGCTGCCTATTACCCGCCACCGCCTCCACCACCAGGCTCCGTCCACTACCCATACTACCAACAACCGCCACCACCTCAACCGCCTCCGTCGGTGGCGCCACCGCTACAGCACCACCTGGTTCAGCCCTACTTCCCTCAACACCCACCGCCTTTCTCTTCCTACGCGCCCGCTCTCGTCCCCCAACCGTCACACGACGAGGTCCGGACCCTATTTGTCGCGGGTCTTCCCGAAGATGTCAAGCCCCGAGAAATCTACAACCTCTTTCGCGAGTTTCCGGGTTACGAGTCCTCCCACCTCCGGACCCCAACCGAGAAGTCTCAGGTATTGCTGACAATTGAAAATTAAATTATATTAATGCGTGATTTTGAGTGATTTTGGTTATCAGCTTACTGTAGCGGTCAAAAAGTTTGGAGCTTTGCAGTTGGGTTGGAATATAAATTGGTTTTTTGTCACTGAAGTTGTTGTGGGCTGACATGGTCTTTTGGTGATGTAGCCTTTTGCTTTTGCGGTGTTCTTGGATCAGCAGTCTGCGATCGGGGCAATGCATGCTCTGAATGTGAGTAGACCTTGCATTGTTTTGTGACATTAATAGTTGGGTATCTGTATATAAACGCTGTAATATACAATGCTGTCTCATCTATACAGTAGAGGAAATTAGGATAGTATTAGTTGGTATTTCACAGTTTATAGTTATCTTCGGGACTATCACCCAACTTATAAGTCTGTTGCAAATTGTTTGAATTGAAGAGCCTCGCTTAGGGTAAAATAGCTTATGCCTATTCATGTGTGGAGAATGGCGGATCTTTAGTACTAGCAGTTGGCTTTTGTGTTGTTTGTTTGTATGGGTTTTATTATTGTTCACTGTGTTGGTGAGTTTTACACTATATGTAAAATTTAGGTGAAAATTTTAACCAAGAGCTCTTGATTCCGAACTGTGTTTTCAGGGGATGGTGTTTGATCTTGAGAAGGGGTCAACATTATATATTGATCTAGCAAAATCTAATTCTAGGTCAAAACGCTCAAGAACAGGTCTATTTCTATTCACTTTCTTTGTCCCTTGTTTGTTCTCTTACACATATTAACTGACTTGAACTGCAATCTGTGCTATTGTTGATCATTGTATGTAGATGATGAAAGATCTGGCTCCGATAAGAAAGCTAGAGGTTCATCATATTCAAGGGGTGCTCCTGATTCTGGTAAGAGGATTGCCTCTAACTGCTTGTGTAAGGGAGTTAGCTTGTATGAATTTCTTGTCTGCAATTTTTTTGTCACTAATTATCCTGATGTACTTTATGATCTCACTGTGCTTTACAATTGCTTTTCTTTACCGTATCTATTTGATGATTGACTGGTCTACGAGATCAGAAACTATTACTTAGTCACTTGGAGGACACATTCTTCTAAAAGCTCACATTGCACATGTTTTGCACGCTTGGGCACTAGCAGGTGTTGGCAGCATTCACATGCCTGGAATGGGTAATTCTGCTTACAACATCATTGGTTATCCATCTGCACCAAGGTCATCTGCACTGCTTGAGCACACGTGTTGTTTTGTTTACATGGAAGTGACTACTTGTAGCTCAATAATCAGCACATATTTTATTTTAAAATATATTACTACTAGCTGAAAGGCCAAGGGATTAGTAAAAGCAGTTTCTGGACGCCCTGGTCCATGAAGTTGGAGTATAGTATTTTCCTTTTTGAAATAGTCACTTTAATAAATCTACGGAATTCCTTGTACTCATTTATTTTTTTCCTTCACTTTTCAGTCATGGTAACTTCAATGGCATACCTGTACATGAGACAATAGCTGGAAACGTGGTATCTTATCTCTTCACTACTTGCACTCTTTTATTTTTTCAGGGTAGTTTCATTTTCAAGTCGATGTTCATCGCTTGTTAGATACTGGATTGCTAAGCTTGCCTTTTGCAGATCTATTTGTATTTTTCTCCTATTCATATATTTTCTTCTGGAATCTCACTTTTTATTTAAATTAAATGTTAGATAATATGCATGTGAAATGTCATCTGAGTGTTTTTGTTTTTTATATGGACATGCGAGTGTTTTTTTAAAAAAAAAAAAAATTATAAATATACGGACATCTGAGTTTTTAAAAAAAAATTATTTATTTTTTATTTTATACAGACATCTGAGTGTTATTGGCCTTTATACATTGGCAGAATAATTCTGCAGCACAACATTTTCCACAAAATAATACTCCATGCCCAACTATTTTCGTGGCTAACTTGGGGCCAACTTGTACGGAGCAAGAGCTGATTCAAGTATTTTCAAGGTTAGTAGCTATATTTTATTTATTGTAGATTCATATGTATAGTCCGCAATACTGTGATGTCATTTTCTAACTGTTTTTATTAGGTGCCCTGGGTTCATAAAATTGAAGATGCAGAGCACATATGGAGCTCCAGTTGCATTTGTTGATTTTCAGGTACCCATGTCTGTTAGGTTCTATCATCCGTCTTAAATATAACCATAAAACACGGCCTTTCTGAGAGGGAGCCTATAAGATGTAAATAACACTGATATAATTCTGGTTTAATTTTAACAGGGTTGAACCTTGTTGTGAAAACTGACATAGTTCTCATTTATTTTGAACACTTGAACCTTGTTTTACATTGGAAATGGAATGTTCTGTTTGTAGGTAGCATTTGAAAATTGGAAGTAAAATTCCATGATCCTTATCCTGTTGCATTTTGTAAATTTTTTGATTTTGTTGTGTCAAGTATATAGAAGAAGCCTCTAGTTATCGGTATAATTTCCAATCTCCTGATCCGAACGCCTCTTTGCAATTCTAATTATATTCTTTGTCTTATCTGAAGGATACTGCCTGCTCAAGTGGAGCGCTGAGTCATCTGCAAGGCACAATTCTCTACTCGTCGACAACGGGCGAAGGCATGAGATTGGAGTATCCTTTAATAGCTCACCTCCAAAGTTTTTCTGTCCTTGGCTTTTGTTGATTTCTCTGTCACAAGTTTTGCTTAACAAGAATCTCAGGTATGCCAAATCACGAATGGGAATGCGGAAGAAGCCAAAGTAATATGAAGAAAATAACAAGATGTATGCCTTTTTGCTCGTTTCCATGCCCACAGAAGCGGATCCACATCTTACATTAAGCTTGTACACCAAGAATAGGTAGACTTTAGTATCAGGGTTAAACTGTTATGATGATTTGTGGTCATTTTCTCAATAATGGAAATGTTTTTTTTTTCCATTCCCATTGTGAATTCGTGATGCTATGGTTTTATATCTTCAAATTCAGAATGGAAAGCGATCCCTGAATTTTTGTGGTGACAGAGTGGTAGTGTAAATGGTAAAAAAATACGGACCAGAACTTGCGAGTTGAACAAAACAAAACAAAAAAGATTTGTAAAATCTCGCCGAAGATCCTCAAGATTTTACTATTTTATCGCAACAAGGGTCCAAGATTTAATCAAAACTACATATTTTCAACTGATCACGGATGAAGGAGCATTGATTGAAGCAGCTGTTTGAAGTTTGTGATGTTTGGGCTCGTCTGTCCTTATCTGGGAAAATTACTTTGCATAAAACAAAATTTTCATAAAGATCTTTCAACATGTAAAATCACGTGGTGGTTCAATTCATTTATGTTATAACACGTATTTTATCTCAATGTTAAGCTCGTCGACACATACTATAATATGTGGATTGTATCACTCTGAACAGAAAAAAACCTTGTGGATTTGTATTAATGTAAATATTGACTAACATAACTATACTAAAAGTAGTTCAACGTAAGTGGACTGATAATTAAAATAAAATAAATAATTAAGAACCCATCTTAGCCTTCTCTCTCATTCATTCATGCAGGGCGGCACAGACGCACGTAACATAAACATCCATCGTTAATTACTAAGTGTATGCCATGTGACATCTTCCAAACAAAAATAAATATATTTAAAAAAAATGTCAAAGACAAAGACACCCCATTTTCCACACATGTGACTTTCTCTTGTTATTTTCTTTTTCTTTTTTCTGCGGACACGCGCGCGCACACACGACCTCAACCTCAAATCATCAAATAACATAAATGAATAATAATTATAGTACACAACACAGTTAGAGACATGTGCACCGTGCACGCATCAATTGACATGT